GGTGGTAGGCATAGGACGTAGGGTCAGGGGTGGAGCCAGAAAAAAAATTGTTGTGCGGACTAAAATTGAAAAATTTCCAATTAAATCATGCAATAAAAGATGCGTTACGTCACACGAGATTTAATTTAAAAGGCTAAACACATGCTGCTTGACAAAATATATTAGAAACAATATAGATGCCCTACTAGATATTCGTAGTGTTTCTTGTGAAATAGAAAACCAACGCGCTCTATAGAAAATATAAAGTTGTGACAGCATGATAAATATGAATAAAGAATATATTCCCACCGATCAAGAACTAAGAAAATACCTAATCAAAAACTATGAATATATGCCACCAATCAAAAATATGCATGATATAAAATATTTAATTTGGTAATAGGTTATTAGTGTTGTATGAATGTAAATGAAACGAATTATGTAATTATTATAGAACCTTTACCTAAATTTGGGGAATTGAACACTGGACTTGGATTGGGATTGCTATTGACTTGGCTAAAGTGGGTTATTGGACCAAACTCAAGCATAATTTTTATTTTTATACATTTCAATTTGCATTTGGGTTGGGCACGCCTGTCACCCCAATATCGGACCTAAGAATCTAAGATAGCTGGGATTGACACATATAGGCCTAAGCTGTTATAATGAGGCCACATGTCATGTATCTAATGGATATCAACTCTTTCATTCAATTAAAAATGCTCACAATTAGAGCCTTTCAAAAGTAATGCAAACAACACGTCCACAATATCTTGCTTGGTAATTTTTTTCTTCAACTTGGATCCTATTTTACTCACATTCTTTGGTTCTCCCACGCCAATAATATATTTCACTGTTTGCTGACTTAAGCGACGGAAAGCTCGTAGTTGCCTTCTGACTTCCCCACTGTGGAGAAAAAGCCAAATGTATCTAACGTTTTGTCCAATTATGCAAGAACTTAACAGGTGGATGAGAGCGAAGTCAAAATCTGTTGATCACGTGTCTCGCCAAATTTCTAAGTCAATGAAGTTGGTGCATAATAATTTGGGTTTAGGTTTTGGAAAGAATAGTTGATAAAGGTCAGAACGATTATATTCACTATATTTCTTTTGTAAAATTGAGTAAAAGTCCACCAAATAGTCAAATGAAGAAGACACATTTCTCCATGCAATTTCTTTATTCTTAAGAGGGGTATAACCAAGGGCGGACCCGCACCCTGCAGGGGGCGTGGTTGTCCGTGCTGGATCCGCTGGAGTCTTCAATACTATCGAGCGTCGGGTGCTGTTGCAGATAGAAGACGGGAAGAAGAAGACCATATTTTCAGTTTGGGAATTTTTTTAATAGTTTGGCCCTTTTGTTTTAGGCTGAGAAAGTAGGGTATTTAAAAAAGTTTGGACATCTTTTTTTAGTTTTGGCCCTTTCTTCTTGGCTTTCCGTTT